GTTGTGATCCACCCTGAGCTTGCTTTGCTTTTCTTGGCTGGTCTTGTGACCTCTGGCTCTCCCCCACTTTGCCTATGGGGGTGTGTCAAACATATATATGTGTTATTGTTGTTGTTGGTAGGCTGTAGTGGGGTAGTTATGAGGTACAACCCATTAGGGTTATGTTTTGTACCAAATCTCTCAATAGTCAAGCACCTTTTCCAGGCCCCAAATTTCAAGGGTATTTTACCCTTTTTGCCCTGCTCATAGGCCACTTTTTGGCAGTTACCCTTTTCAAATCAGGGTATGCAGTTTTTATCCCTAGTGAAATCAGAATACGCTTAAAAGTACTCTTGTAGGTTTTTCAGTTACACTGACTGTATCAGGGTAGGGGTTCAACTACCCTTTTACCGGAACTTTTCTGTACCACGGATTCCGCCACAGTCTGCGCCACGACGAAATGCTCCACGGTCCCACTGGACAATTTGTTGGATACACCCATTGGCGTGTGAACAGAACTAGGCAAGAATGGTGCATTGAAAGAAACAGTTGGGTACAAGTAGCTAACCCTAGTTGGGTTTGTACCCTGTATTGGCTACCCCACTACAGCCTACCTACATATAAATAACACATTACAACTTAACACACCCCCATAGGCAAAGTGGGGGAGAGCAAAGGGTCACAAGACCAGTCCAGCAAAGCAAAAACAAGCCCAGGGTGGATCACAACGTCACCACACACCGAGCACAAACAAAGGCCACAAGGCCAGTTCACATGTAGTGCTAGATATAGAACAGGACAAGCAGCAAGACAAATATAAAGTACAGTACAAAGAATGTCAAGCAGTGAGCAAGTGAGGAAACGTGGACACAAGGCCTAAAGAAGTACAGTGCCGCTGATGATCACTAGGCGGGAGCGCCTTGGTGAAGATATCAGCAGTGTTGGCCTTCGAGTCCACGTACACAAGCCGAAGCTGACCGCGCTGCTGAAGCTCTCGAGCAAGAAAGTAGCGAAGAGCAATGTGCTTCGTCCTGTGCTCCAGTCTGTGCTCCTGACACAAGGCAAGAGCCGCCTTGTTGTCACCGTACAGAACTGGAGGAGAACTAGGCCGCTCTCCCAAGTCAGTCAGCAGGTAGGTGAGCCAGCGTAACTCCTGTGCAGCCATGGCTGTGGCGTAGATCTCAGCCTCACAACTAGAGCCGAGAACAGAAGAAGAGCGGGTGGACCGCCACGAGACAGAACCAGAGCCAAGGCTGAAGGTGTAACCCTGTGACGACCGCTGCGTAGCCAGGTCGTCCACCCAAGAAGCGTCCGAGTGACCAGTGAGGACAACTCTGTCGCGTCCTCCAAGCACCAGCCCCATGCCTGATGTACTGCACAAGTAACGCAGCACCCTCTTAGCAGCCTCCCAGTGCTCTCGCCTGTGTCTCCCAGGCGCAACGTAACGAGCAAGGATGCTAAGTGGGTACGCGAGGTCAGGTCGCGTGCAAGTCATCAGGTACATGAGGCAGCCTACAAGCTCTGGGTACGGGCCACTCGGCTCTACGGACTCGTCCGAAGGTGGAGCTGAGAGCGAGTGGCTGGTAGCCAGAGGTGTGGCCTGTGGTGAGGAGAACTGGAAGCCGAAGCGCTGAAGGACCTGCTGCACCATGTGTGACTGAGTCAGGGTGATGGTGCGGCGAGCTCTGTCCCGGGTGATCTGCAAGCCAAGGTAGCTACGCAGTTCACCCAGGTCAGTGCAGGTGTGTCTCTTCTGCAGCTCCGACTTCACACGAGCGAGTGCCTCAGTGTCAGCAGTAGCAAAGACCAAGTCGTCGACGTACACGAGAATGTAGAACGGCGGCAGCGACGTGTCTGTGCGCAGAAACAGCGACGGGTCAGCAGTAGACGGCGCGAACCCAAGAGCCGCAAGTGTAGTCCTCAGTGTGTCGTGCCACTCACGTGGCGCCTGGCGGAGACCGTAGACTGGCCGGCGGAGGCTCCACTGGGTACCAGGAGGAAACGACCCAGTAAAGCCAGGTGGGCGGCGCAGCCAGATCTCCTCGTGCAGGCTGCCCTGCAGGAACGCTGTGCTGAAGTCAAGAGAGTGAAGCTCGTAGTCACGCTGAGCAGCAACGTGCAGCAGAACCCGAAGAGTGGTCATCTTCGGGGTGGGGGAGAAGGTCTGGAAGAAGTCGACCCCCTGACGCTGACTGAAGCCTCTAGCAACGTAACGAGCCTTGAAGACAGGCGGAGAACCTGGCGGCCGCTTCACCCTGAAAATCCACATGCCATCGACGATGTTCGCCCCAGGAGGGGGAACCTCGTCGACGTAGGTGCCTGTGGACTTCCAGGATGCCATCTCTGCGTCCATGGCTGTCTGCCACTGAGAGGAGTAGGGACCCGAGATCGCCTCTGCGTAAGTGCGCGGAGTGGGGATGTCTAGTGCATCCGGGTCTCCCTCAGGGGCAAGCAACCAGGCCACGAGATGAGGTACAGCAGCCGCGAGAGAGTCAAAGTCCTCCTGCCTGTCCTCAAGGACGTCCGTGCCAAGAGCACACTCACCCCCAACGGACGGAGGACAGACAGACGCAGACTCAGACCCAGCAACAAGGCGAGCAGCGTAGTCTAGACGACAGGCAGCAGCAAAGTCAACCAACTCAGCGACCAGAGCAGACGCAGCCGAGGACTCAAAGGTAGGGTCAGTGACAACAGTAGCTAGGAGACGCGTGACAGTAGGGTGCTCAGCACGATACCGGTCAGACTCAGGGTCCGGAACAGCAGGCAAAGAGGACGCAGGAGGAGACGGCAGAGGGACACGCTGAGGAGCAGTAGAGGGACGCAGAGTCATGTAGTGAGTGCCTGGGACAGGAGGAGGACGCTCACGACGGACACGACGACCAGTGCGAGCAGTACGGACAGGCGACGCAAGACGAGACTCAGGCTCACGACGCTCTGTAAGACCTCCTGTGGGACCAGTGTAAGGAGAGGGAGCAGGGAGAGGCGAGGCAGGCGGTAACTGTGACTGCGGCTGGACAGTCGGAGGACACTCTACGGAGGGAGGAGGACAAGGAGGAGGAGCTTGCCCAAGAACCTGCTGAAGGAGCGGTACGAAGTACGGCCGCGGCCGCGCAGCGTCTCCAGAAGCAGAAGAGACTCCAGCGTCCGGGTCCCCAGCACCAGCAGCAGCGCCACCGCTCGGGTCCTCAGCTCCAGCAGCAGCTCCACCAGGTGGGTCCGCAGCACCAGCAGCAGCACCACCCCCAGGGTCCGCAGCACCGCAAGGAAGAGCACCCCCAGAGTCGGCAGCTACAACTCCGCTAGCGCCGCCAGCTCCAGAGTCCCCAGCTCCAGCAGCTCCAGTCGTAGTGCTCCCAGAACAACCAGTCCCGGCAGCTCCAGTACCCCCAGCTCCAGCCGAGCCACTAGGACGGCGAAAGCGCCGGACGTACCAGTCACGAAGCTGCTGTGGTGTGAGAGACTGCTCAGCACCCCGAACCGGAGCACCCCCAGACGCAGCAACCCGAGGCTCCGTAGGCTCAGTAGCAGCACCCCCAGGCTCAGTACCCGCAGGCGCAGCACCCCCAGACTCAGCACCCCCAGACTCCGCACACGCCGGCTCAGCACCCCCAGTCGCAGCACCCCCAGGCTCAGTACCCCCAGGCGCCGAACTCTCAGGCACAGTACCCTCAGCTCCAGCACCCGTAGTCCCAGCACCCCCAGGCCCAGCACCCGCAGGCTCAGCACTCCCAGCAGCACCACCTGCAGCAGCACCTGAGTCACCTGTGACCTCGACAGGCTCAGCGACGGGAGGAGGGTCGACCTGAGAGACACCTGAAGGAGCAGGACCCTGAGGGGGAAGGGGGTCTACCGGAGGGGGACCAGGAGCAAGGAAAAGCGGCGGGGGAGGGAGGGGGGCAGTACGGTAGGGGAAGAGACGGTAAAAAGGGACCGACTCGTCAAAGGTGACGTCCTGAGAGGCGAAGACCCGGCGCGAGGTGGGGTGGTAAAACTGCCAGCCCGGCGCGTCAGGGACAAAGCCAAGGAAGACACAGGGAAGTGTGCGGGAGGAGAGCTTGTCCGCGGACGTATCGCGGACAAGGGCACGAGCACCCCACACCCGGAAGCGCGACGCATCGCCAACCTCCCCCGTCCAACGCAGTGTGGGCGAGGTCTCCGGCAAGGAGACACGGGGCCAGAGGTTGAGCTGATGCGCGGCGTACCGGACAGCAAACGGCCACAGAAAATGGGGAGCCGCCGCGTGGACCAAGGAGGTACGAGCGACCTCCATGACCAGGCCAATGCGGCGCTCAGCAACCCCATTCTGCTGTGGGGAGTCCGGAAGCGTGAAGGTCTGCTCGATGCCCTCCGCCTGACAGAAGGTCCTCAAGAGATCGGAGGAAAACTCACCACCTCTGTCAGAGTGCAGACGCAGGACAGGAAGATCCGTCCGGAAACGGCGGCGGAGCTGGAGACGAACTGTGCGGATCCAAGGGATCAGAACAGCAGGGACCTCACCCTTGGTGCGCAAGGGGAAGACCGTGGTATAACGCGAGTAGTCGTCGACAACCAGCAAAAAGTACCGCTCACCGCCCTGGCCACGAACGCGGGCTGGGCCCCACACGTCCAGGTGGAGGGTCTGCAGAGGAGCCTCTGTCGGGGGGAACGAGGAGGAGTGAGGAGCGGCGCGCTGCCGCCCCTCGACGCAAGGAAGGCAAGGCGGCGCAGGCGAGGCAGGGAGGGGAGGGAGGGACCTGGGAAGACCAGACACAAGGCGGCGACGGTGCATGCCACGGAGGCGTGGCAAGGAGGGGTGACCCAGGCGGTGGTGCCAGAGAAGAGTCTGGTGCGACAGGGAACGACACTCACAGGCGTGGGCCACCAGACCTGACGCGGACACCTGACCGACAGCAGCGACCTGAGGAGACGCAGTGGTCAGTGTGTAGAGACTCGACCCCGGCCGACGGGTAAACGTAGCCAGGTGACGGCCGGTCCTGGAGCACGTGCAGATCGCCACACGCTGTCCTCCAGGGGTAAAGGTGTCAACCCACTGATCCTGGATGACAGCGTTGCTCACCAGGTTCGTCGAGAACGAGGGGAGGTGGAAACCCGACAACGAGCCAGACGGAACCGCCGGACAAGGGAGCACAGTGGTGGACTGGGCAAGGACTGGGCCCCCAGAGGGGTCAGCCAAGGAGACTGGGACCGGTGCAGGAAGCGGTGTGAGCTCAGTACTGTCACGAAAGAAACAGCGGGAAGCACCTGAGTCAAGGGTGAAGGTGTGACAGGCCTCAGCCGGTGCGGTACCTGAGAGAGCAGTCTCTGTGGGTGCTGTACCTGAGAGAGCAGACTCGCAAACAGCCGGGACAGCACTGGAGGGAGCAAGTACAGGGGGCACCATACCAGAGAGAGCAGACTCACTAGTACCCAGGGCAGCGGGCTCTATACCTGGGTCAGGCGGCACACACAAGTAACAGTCTCCCTCGGCACTAACAGTCAATGCATACATGGCAGCAATAATAGCATCATAGTCAAGAGCAAAGATATCAACACCAGCCCTCATGAGCTCAGCCCAGCGGGGGCGCTCAACATCCTCGCCCATCTCCTCACGCCAAGCGTCGTCAAGGCGGGAGAAGCAGCGGTACGGGGTGTGGAACCTCCCACACGTCTGTCCCTTGCGGTCACCTGTGCGAATGACATAGGAACAGCGGCCACTGCCCCCCGACGTCCCACGCTGAGCAAGCCACTCACGAAGCTGCTGGGTCGTCTGGGGACGCTGCTGCTGCTGGGAGCTCTGGCCCGAGCCAGTGCCTCCACTCCGACCTCCGCCGCCACCACTACCACCGCTCCGACCGCCACCGCCACCACCGCCACCACCGCCACCGCCGCCACCGCCGCCGCCGCCACTACTGCCACTGCTTCCTCCGCCGCCCCCGCCTCCACCGCCGACCCCACTCCCACCAGCGCTCCCGCCACCGCTCCCTCCAGCACCGCCTCCCCCCCCACCTCCCCCACCTCCTCCCCCCCCAGCGCCACCCCCGCCACCCTTGCCCCCCTTGCCCTTGCCGGTGCGGCGCCTCCCACCAGGAGCAGAAGCAGCGCCAGCAGACTCAGCACCAAGGAAGTCAACAGCAGCAGCAGTAGCGTAGGAGGGAGCGAGGGGAGAGGGAGAACACCCCTCAAAGATGGGGGTGCGAGGAGCGCCACGAGCAGCACCGACAGCTACAATGCTCTTTTCGGCCGCTAGCAGCTGCTCCTCTAGGAGGGCGACTGTGAGCTCAGTGGGACAGCGAGCAAGGAAGTGGTCTCGAACTGAGCTGAGGGTGTCAGGGAGACGGGTGACTATGAAGTGGAGTGTCCAGTACAGTGGAGGGGGATTCTTAGCGCAGAACTCGGTGGGAAGGGCGGCACGCAGGCGAGCATCACTAGTGCGAAGGTGGGTGATAAGATCGGCGACTGTAGCAAAGGTGGACAGCTCAGGGAACAGGTACGGCAGCATGAGGCGGCTAAGCTCGGCTGTGGCAGGCGAGGAGTAGCGAGCAACGACAGCATCGTACAGGGCCTTAGCGGATTTGCAGTCGCCAAAATGCTCGAGCTCAGCTAGCGGCAGGTGACTGCGAATGGCGAGCAGCTGCGTCACGAGTCTGCCAGTGGGAACGAACACTAAGCTCAGCTGTGGCAGGAGGGGCAGGTGCAGCACCAGACGCGTAATCATAGAGCGACACATGCTCCTTGCTATCGCTCAGAAGGAACAGCTGCAGGTCATCCAGCCAAGTGGCGAACTTCACAGGGCGGCCCTCAGCATCGAACGACAGCACGCGGATGGAAGCCATAGCGACAGTGCGACTGAGCAAAGGAAGCTGCCGCAGCGCTGCAGGTAGGTAGCTCGGCGGGAAGCGCGGCGGGCGGGCGACGCGGCGAGCGGGCAGTGCGGGGGGCGGGCTACGAAGCGGGCAGCGCGGTGGGCAGGCGGCGCTGCAGGCGGGAAGTGCGGCGGGCGGGCTGCGAAGCGGGCAGCGGGGCGGGCGGGCGACGCGGCGAGCGGGCAGCGGGCGGGCGGGCGACGCTGCAAGCGGGCAGCGGGCGGGCGACGCTGCGAGCGGGCAGCGCGGCGGGCGGGCTGCGAAGCGGGCAGCGGGCGGGCGGGCGACGCTGCAAGCGGGCAGCGAGGCGGGCGGGCGACGCTGCGAGCGGGCAGCGCGGCGGGCGGGCGACGCTGCGAAGCGGGCAGCGGGCGGGCGGGCGACGCTGCAAGCGGGCAGCGGGCGGGCGGGCGACGCTGCGAGCGGGCAGCGCGGCGGGCGGGCTGCGAAACGGGCAGCGCGGTAGGCGGGCGACGCTGCGAGCGGGCGGCTCGGCGGGCGGGCGACGCTGCGAGGGCGCTAACGAGAGGCGCACGAGGGCGCTAACAAGGGCGCGCGAGGGCGCTAGCGAGGGCGCGCGAGGGCGCTAACGAGAGGCGCGCGAGGGCGCTAACGAGGGCGCGCGAGGGCGCTAACGAGGGCGCGCGAGGGCGCTAACGAGGGCGCACGAGGGCGCTAACGAGGCTAGGGCACGGGGTAGCGTGGTAACCGCATGCGAGCGGTGGTGGGCCCTTAAAAAAAAACGGTCGGTAGGTCCTAGGGACCTCCTGCTCTGAATACCATGTGAAAAGAACTAGGCAAGAATGGTGCATTGAAAGAAACAGTTGGGTACAAGTAGCTAACCCTAGTTGGGTTTGTACCCTGTATTGGCTACCCCACTACAGCCTACCTACATATAAATAACACATTACAACTTAACATGGCGCGCCAACGTACATTCAGGGCGGATGGCACCGCACACCTACGATTGGTTTGTTGAGCAACATAGAAGCCAAGGCACCCAGTTTCCGAGCAACATTGAGTAGTGACTTCTTGAGGCTGGTTTATTTAACTAGGTAGTGAAGCTTGTATGTGCAGAACACTTTAGTCATGTTACTGTTGGAGTAGTACAAATTTGATATTCGGAAGGAAACAGCGTACGAGATATATTACCCTGCATAAATCAGTGTACCTGAAATTTTAGGCTGCTACAATTAGTGTACGCGAAAAATTACCCTACCGGTCAGGCTACGGAGGGGATGCCACCCTGATTTGAAAGAGTGAGCTAAAACCTATTTTGGGCCCTGACCTTTTCCTTGCCTAAGTTCTAAGAATATCATATACAGCACAGACGCCAAGCATCGCACTGCACCACAAGCATTCCCGGAAAGTAGTGCTCCAGCTCTCACACAGGGGGTCACCAGCAGGAGGCTGAGATTGGCTGATGCTGCACAGAGCTAACCACTCACTCTAAACACTGCCTACTGCACTTGTGGGACCACACCAGCGAGGGAAGCAACGGCAGGGAGGGCAGGGAGGGCTGGGAGGGCTGGGGCAGCACATGGTAGCAGCCATAGGAGTGTGGCGAGCACAGGATGCCACCACTGCCTGCTTCACCCTGCCTGCCCTCCTCCTTCACATGGCACCACCCAGAAGCGTTGCTCCTACTTCCATTGTGGGGATACGATGGGGCTGACTGCGGAAAAAGAGCCATGCTGCTATTCCCATGCCGTGCCAGTCAGCCGCATCCTGTTCCCCACCCTTTCTCCCCTCCCTTACCCCCTCGTCCAACTTCCCTTCTCTCCCTCGTCCAACGGCTCTCACACTGCACCACAAGCACTGCAGGAGAATAACCCAACTGCTGTCACATGTGGAGTCACCAGCGGCGAGTGGTGAGCATTACCGACTTCCCTTCTCTCCCCCTCTCCCCTCACCTCCCCCCAAACATACCTGGTCTCCCTTTCCTCTCCCCGCCCCTCCTTCACTCTACTTTCCTTTGTTCCGCATCTGCTCTCTTCTTCCCTTCCCCGGTCGCTGCGCCTTCCCCCCTCTGCTCCCCCCTCTGCCTCCCCCTCTGCTCCCCCCTCTACCCCCTCCCCGAAACCCTTTACCCGCGGAACCCCCCCTTCCCCCCCGCCCGCCGTCCTCGTCCCCGAACCCCCCGAACTCCCCGAAGTCGTTGGTGGAGGCCGCGTCGTTCTGCTTCTTCAGCCGCTTCCGCCCGCCGAACCCATACTTGGCATCCCGCTGCTTCCGCTTCTCCAACGACCCCTTCCCCCCGGCCCGCCCCCCGCGCGCTCCCGCCCCGCGCTTCTCCCCTCGTGCAAACTCCCCCCCCGCGCCCAGCGCCGCATCCAGCTCCACGGGGAAGTCCGCTCCGCCGGGCGCGGTTGCGCCGTCCTGGAAGTTGCTCTGCTGGCGCAGCTTGCGCCATCGCTCCACCGCCTGCACCGCGTCCTTCTTCTCCTTCTCGCGCTCCTTGCGCCGCTCCGCCTGCACCAGCTTCGCGTACTTCTTCCCCTCGCGCGCCTTCTTCCGCTCCTCCGCGCCCTCCATCTCCTTCTGCTGCGCCAGCAGTCGCGCGCGGATGCGCTCCATGTGCGCGTCGCTCTTCACCATCTCCGCGTAGTAATCCGCTGGCCGCAGCAGCGCCACCGCGGACGGGGGGAACCTCCTCTTCTCTTCCCCCTCCACCCCTCCCGCGGAAGCAGCTGCGCTTGCGGCGGCGGCTGCTTCCTCCTGGAGCCGCACAAGCGCCGCCTTAGCGCCAGCTGCGGCCTGGGAGTAAAACGCGGCTTCGCGAACCAAATCGTCTGCCGCGTCTACGGCCTCCATGCCGCCGGCGTCAGGGGCGGCGTCGTCCACGACGACGACAGCCAGCGACTCCACCCACGGCCGCCTGCCCGCCCACGCGAACTCGTCTAGCTTCCTGCGCAGCGCCGGCCCGTCGTTTATCGCGTGGGGTTTCTGCTGCGCGCCGAACAACGCCGCCGCCTCGCCGTCATCGTCGTCGTCGTCGAGATCCTCGTCCTCGTCGCCATCGTCGCTCTCGTCGCCAGCGTCGCCATCGCCATCGTCGCTCCCGTGGTCGACATCGTACTCCTCGCCTCGGGCTATTAGCTCCTCCTCCTCCCCTGCTTCAACCATGCTCGCCGCGGAGGGTATCAACTCGACGGCGAATGATGCCCCCAACCCAATGCAAGTTCGTGGGGGAGTGGAGAGGAAGGGTTGGAGCTAGAAAGTAGAGAGTTAGGGTACAAGCAGGGGACAACGTTGGGAGGGGAAGGGTTTTCTAGGGCACGCACAGTTTTCGCGAGCTGGCCTTCCATCCGCACTTTGCTCATATATTACAAGGTATTGTTACGGGTGCAATGGAATAGCGAGGATTGCACTAGGTGTCAAACGAGTACAAATGTTAGGGCGGGTAGCGCGTACGTTTACAGGTACTATACAGTTCATTTGTCGTGGTTTGAAAAGTTATCAGGCGGTGCACAGCGGTTCTAACATTTGGCCGTTTTGAACCGTCACGCAATGCAGATTACCGCACTGGATGAACTGTAATGTATGGAAAACATACGCGCTGGACCCGCCCTTAGAGTGCAATTGAGAAAGCGAGTGAGAATTGCACTATCGAAGCAAAACAGTACATCGCGAAGGAATGACCAAGACCTATATAACAAAGGCCACATTGGTAACGGTAACGAACTGTGGGAAATGCGCTACAGGCCTGTTACTCTGGTTGGGACTGAGGTCGAGACTTGTCGAAGCAAAGGCCCGGAGCGCGGTTTGCCAGCCGAGCCGTGAGGTTGGGTTGCGTCTCAAGAGTTAGTGCAACGGAATGTCGAGAGTGGCAAGGCAAGGCAGTACAAACATGACAACTTAATTGAATTGTACTCAAATAACAAACAAATAATAACAAATAATAACAAATAATAACATTTGACATTGCGACAAGCGAGGTGGCGGGAAAATGGTCGATGCGAGCGTCCCGAGAGGTAACGGTGCACAGTGTGGCGAGAATAGTATGTGCGCTCTAAGCAGGGATGCGGCGTAAGAAAAAGGGAAATTCCTTACACTACCCGCCCCCTAAGGAGGCGCCCCACCCCCTTACGAGAGTGCGTGCACATCCCGGAAATTGCGGCTACGCAGATAGTCGGTGAGGACGGGGTGGTTTTCAATTCTTTCAAGGGGTACCCAGTTGTCTGCAGGCGGCGTGCAGTCTTTCCAGCAAATCAGGAACTCGACACTACGAGCTCCGCGTGGGTCACGAACTTGCTGGCTCAAGATTTTCTCGGTAGTGATGATTGGCTCGGTAAGTAATGGGTCGGCGGTGGCGGTCGGCGTTGCGTTTAGTGATGGCATTCGATTTCTTGATTGCGTCTGCTGCCCGGGTCCGTGCTGCCTGTAAAATTTCTGCGAACTATTGCGCACGTGACACTGGGTTGTCGAGATTCAGGGTCATGGGTAGTGTGGGGTCTTGTCCATAGTTCAGGTAGAAGGGTGAATGTTGGGTGACTGTTGGCTGCTGTTCCCATGTTGTTGGGTCATCGCACGTGGCTCGGATTAACTGTTCCATGGTTTGATTTGCCCGTTCTGTCTGTCCGTCAGTTTCGGAGTGGTACGATAAGCTGAACTGTAGTCACGTGCCGAATTTCTGCCACAGGTTCCGCTAGAAGTTGCTCGTCAATTTCGTGTCGCGGTTGCTGATGATTGCTGCTGGTATCCAGTGCAGTTGAACAACGGTGATGATGAAGAGCTGAGCTGTTTCTTCAGCCAAGATTGATTTCTTGCAGGCTGCGAAATGCGCCATCTTTGTCAGCCGATCGACGACAACCAAAATCCCGTCATTCCCACTTGCCCAGGCCAGTAACCCTGTGACGAAGTC